TTTTAATGGCACAGCACAGCAGGCAAATATCATTAAGCTTTGATGGTACTAGCAGAGAAACACATATGAGCACCCACACATACATAACTTGCGTTTGATTCAAATGACCGATAAAGTGAATCTACGAAATAAAAAAAAAATTGGCATCTAGAAACTTTTTGAAACTTTGTTGCCAATTTGAGAGACTGAAAGAGACAACCATGTCCATTGTTGCTTAGGACAAGTACGGGTACCACTACCTTGAAACTATCTCTTGAGACTACAGATCGCAATATACATTTTATGAAAGGTCCATCTACATGTACCGGTATCTTCACAGTTTCATGTACATGTATGTTCAAAGTTTCAACACAAATTTTACGCTGTATGTATAACGCATACGTGTACTTTTACATTTTAACCACATACTCTCATTAGATACATGTGGATGAATTGTGAACAAGTATGTACATCATGTGCACGTACAAAAAGCAATGAAAGTGTTCTTGTACATGTACATGTACAGTTCTTTGTACATGAATCTGTAATTTTAAATAGACATGTATGAGCATGTAACTTTTAAACTCTGACGTAACGCCACCAAGTGGCAATTTGCAAATTCCATCAGGATTACAAGCAGCCTCCCTAATCCAACACAGCAAATCCAATGTTTTCAGACAGTGGGGGCAAATCCCCCCAACAGCACAAAAGGAAGGAATAAGGAAGCTCATCTTTCTGTCATTGTTGCTGAGATGTCAATACACAGACAATACTCGGACCTCAATAAATTAGCACCCAACTGTCACGGGGAGGGGGATTTGCCACGGGTCTTGCGCAAGCTGGAACAGCACGCCAAAACTTTCTAAATATTTGTGAGGATTACCGGTAGGATTATGACAATTAGAGAGTGATGGTGTCTAAGTTTGTGGCGTTATTAATGAACTCTAACGCCCTAGGCATTTTTGCTTGGAGCCTTCCGGTATCCTTCCTAATCCACTACTGTGCAGGTATTCCAAAATAGACACTTGTCTGATGATTACATGTACTGTTGCAGGTACATGTATGTATAACAACTTTTTTCTTTTTTGGAAGTAGTTCAGGCATTTTTTTAATCCACTTGCATGTTAATAGTTTCAAGTTTTCATCCTTCTTTGGAGTGGACAAGCTCTTACTCCTGGATGGGTAGTCTTTCTTGTTGGCCAAATTAACCCTAACTGCCTACGTGTAATTGCACTTGTACTTAGCCCTCCTGGTATCTGAACAGTCACAGACAGTCAAGAAATCAATCCTCTTCCCCTGCCATGCCTTTTAGTTAGACATGCTAGTCACCAACAGTCAGATCATATTTAAAGTACTGTGACCAGTCAAATTCAGTCAACAGACAAAAGCAGGCAAGTGCTAGCCAGGCACAGCCGGCTTATCAATCACCTACAGTCAAAGCATAGCTGCATCAAGTTACATAAACAGTCACAGCCAGTCAATCCTGCTTAAATATGTAGGCTGGCAGCTCTAAACCGTTGAAAAAGTCACTTGTTTGATTTTGACTAAAAGGACAACTTGACACAGAATGTATGTTTGCATCTACATGTAGGAGGGTTAAAGTGGCAATTGCTGGGCTCTGTCTCCCTCAATCTTTCAAAATCTTTCCACAACCTCCTGGCAAATTTTTGAAGGATCTTGGGAAAGCTAAAAGCTTCTACCAGAAATAGACAATATTTATCAGGACAAATATTTATCTTTGGGAGTGAACAGGCACTTTTCAGTCTTCCTTTGTTTCTTCATAGACAAAGCCTCTCCCAGCCTGACTCGCTGCAGACAGAGCAGAACAATCAAAGAACTATTCTCTCCCCCCCCCCCCCCTCAGATTTCCACTGCCCCTTTCTCCCTCGGGCAAGGATATTAATTTAGCAGAATTTGTCACCAAGGTAATAATATCAGACTGAGTTGATTAGTGCCTGGGCTGGCAGGAATACGGTTACGCCTCGGGCAATTTGTGTCACTCGGTGGTTCTCAAAACAATACAGTCCAAACAAATCTTTCTTGGAAAAACACAAATATTTATGTTTTGATACTGTTCAGATGTACATGTACAACAAAGTACACAAAAATGTGATGTTAATTAACCAGGCTGAAATGCATACGTACAAGTGAAAGAATGTATCTGTTTAGGTACATTTGTAAACGTAAAAGTACATGCACATGTAGTTAGTATACATGTAATGTACCGGTATATTGCTACAAGCTGTAGCCACAAATTAACCAATGCGAATGAAGCCTGTAACTTCTTGCAATGTTGTCTGGTACCTTGACTCTGACAAACCAATGATTGGGTAGATAGAAGGGTTGATTGTGTTATTGCAATTAGCACCGTGCTGTTTGACAAGGTGGATATCCAGTCAATCCACGCAGGGGACGTGTTGACATGACCTCCATTACACCGCTTGTAATGATAAATCGGCTCCAATTATTCTTTTTCCACCCAAATTTTGTTCTTACCCAGAGGCAAAATTTTGGCTCAAAAGATTACTGTAGTTTACCCTGAATATTTGCGTTAATTAATGATACAATTAAAATCCTGGAACCTTGTTCTCTCAAAATTATGTGATTTGTGTGTTGAAGTTAGAGGTAAGGATCCTGCTAAAATAATGTTTAAAACAAAATCAACTTAAAAACTCCAAAAACTCAACAACTTGTTTGGAATCTTGGCTGGATTTCAGACTGTACAACCATTGCTCTATGGTACAACCAGGCAACTATCACTTCCAGACGAGGCTTGATGTTCATACTAAGTTTAAGGAAAGTGTACCTCATCTGCTGCAGGCACAGTGTCTGATTTTGAAAGCTCCAGGAAACATCGAAACAAACTTGTGCAGTTTTAAGCTAACCGTGAGTATTCTTCAGTCTGTTGTTGATGTTTCAACCACACCCCTCTGACACCGATTATTAATTCCTTGTGAAGTCAGCGATCCACGTGCGCAAGGCCGGCGCACCATGGGTGTTTAATTGTAAACAAACAAACCAAACCCATCAGGGTCATGATATTTTTCACAATTTTTTTAACAAACACTTTTAGGAAGGAAATATTTTCCTGCAACGCCTGGGTTAAATTATTAAACCTTGCAAAAAGCAGATAAATTTCCCCCCCCAGCTCAGACGGCAAATGAGGAAGTCAGCAGCATTTTTAATTTCAAAATTTGACAACTGGGATAAAAAAATCAATCATATTTTTTGCTTATTTGCATTTTTCTAAAGGTTGGGATAAAGATGAAAAAAGACAATTATTTTTTTGGAGGGTGGGGTTAAACAGAGGCAGGATTATTTTGATGGAAATGGGGAAGATATACTTTGTGTTTAAAAATCTACAACCTACCTCCCTACAAAAATATAAAACTACTTTTATTGACCCCAAAAACCCACAACAAAGTTATGCAGTAAAGAGACAAACGAATGAGCAAAGTAACAAAAACATGCAATTAAACAGACTTTATGCCCCAGTGGCTAAGGAATTCCAACAAGCCCACGCTCACATGTATCTAACTCCTCGTTAACCAAAATGTCAAGAGTTGATCAGCTGTGCCACTAATTACTGTCATGCAGGAAATGAGCACTTCGGGCTAAGCCCAAAGCAAACGCTGGCCCAATTAAAAAATGGAAATACATGTACACGTGCATATGGATAAACTGAAAACGTGTGGTGCTGGTACTTGTAGCACGAACGTGTACATTGCACGGATCACCTGTGTACAAGTTTTGAGAAATTGTCTGGAAAAATACATGTATTTCTATCATCTTTGGGAATGCCTACAGAGGGCGCTATTTAACTGTTGAAGTTAATAATTCACTATAGTCTTCTGGAAAGGGACGACATAAATGTCTATCGGCAAAAGCCAAACTGTGCTAGCATCTGATCAAATTAACCTCAATAAATGGCCTCTCAACTTCAGCCGTTTGACTGGTTGCTAACCGTTGAGATTATTTCCATCTTCTTGATGGACTCGCAAAACCCTCAAACATAGACACTACCGCTTTGTGCATCTCCAGATGAAAACTATAATCTGCTTTCTTCGTGCCATGACGCATGTGCGCACCTGTACACGTACGCAGTGGGTCTCCTCACATGGAGCTCTCAAGAGTGGACACAAAGGCACCCTCTAGTGTTTATGCTGATCTCAGAGGTTAAATACATTTAAAGGACCCATGCAATGTAATTTTTTTAAATGTAATCCTTGAAAAAAACACCTTTGTGTCCCATTTAACGTTATTTTCAATTTTTGTTTTGCCATTTTCAAGGGTATTTTGGTGCCTTTTTGTTCTTTTTGCTGATGCGAATTTCCATATTTCATGAGTAAACGTGTGATGTCATTTCAGGCAGAAACCTCAATGTTACAGCTATTTCAGCACCAAAATATTCCAGCATTGTAGATATTTTTACGTAAGTTTCTTTTCTTTGGTGATTCGTTGTTGTGTCGGTACCTGCCAGTGATCCAAGGAGCAAACTTTTCTCACAAATTTTGTTCAATGAGCAAACTTTTCTCACAAATTTTGTTCAATGAGCAAACTTTTGGGTTCACAATTTGAGCACAAAACCCCTAAACTGAACAGTGTCTTCCTGAAATGACATCGCAGCAACAGCACCCTCCGTTGTCCGGAAAAAGCATGGAAAAATTTGAATGATTAAACAAGTGCACTTTTCAATAAAAAAATAACCAAAAAGGGATGTCAAGTAGTTTTCATACATTTAAGAGGAGGAGAATGATGCACAGAATATGTTCCTAAAAACAATTCAATGCTTGGGCCCTTTAGGTTAACTTGACCCCAAACTGGAGGTCAGTAAGATGAGATGCTAACACTGATGCAGAAGTCCATCTGTGACTTCCAAACCTGAGGATGAAGGCATACATTCAGCATAATAAGTAGTACTGTCTGTCGGTGAAGGGCAAAACCTAATTTGATTTATATCACCCCGGCGCAAAAAAATTCCATCTTATAATAGTACTGTCTGCTTCTTCAAGATACTCAGGACAAACTAACAACCAGACAAATGGACCGACGGTCCGACAAACCTTTGGATGATGAGCTGCAGTGTGTCCGGGGAGCCCTTGACCAATTGGATTGCCTCGGTGTGGGCCTCACACTCCACGCTGTTGATGCTCAGGATGATGTCATCAACCTGCAAGGCTCCTGATTGGCTGGCCTTACCTCCGGGCTCAATCTGAAAACAAGAGACGAAATGACAAAACAATGAATGTCTGAAATGCAATAGCCGAAGAAATGAATTTTCTCCATAGTGGAACTTTTGACAGGAACATTTGCATTCATCTTGAATTCAAAACTAAACTAAAACAGTGACTTTAAGTATTCATGATTTGTTAATCAGGAAGGAAAGAATCACAAACCATTTTACGTGTTGTTGACTGATAGAAAAGAGATGTAGATTTAAAAACTTCAAGCCTTTTGGAAGTTTGTGAAGTTCTAAAGATTGCAACTTGTGGTGTGGCTTGGTTTCTCTCTTGGTACCAAACTAAAACCGTCTTAATCCTTTAAAATCCAACAGATGTGCCTCATTGATTTTGAAGGAAGCAGCAATGCAGGGCTCAGATACTTTACACATAATACACGGAGCCCTGGTGCCACTGAATTGCAAATATTGTGCGAGTGGCTGACTGCAAAGTCTTGGGTTTTGGCAAATTCCGTAAGTTAAAACAGTGCAAAGAAAACCCAGTTATGACTCAGCAAATTTACTCCCTTGGCCATGGTTACTGTCTCACGACCCCAAAGTAAGAGTTGCTAAGAGTGAGCAACAAGTGACATGATGAATACAGATGAGCAAACACTACATGTGTCCAGTATCCCTAATATAGCTGTCTTAATTAAACATGCAGTGTGTACATCATTACAGGAATCAACCAATTATTGCAATTCTTTCGAAATACAGCAGGGGCAAATTAATCAATCTCCAAAATATACATTTGCAAGGGGAAAAAAGTCACTTGAAACAAACTACAGTTGGAAATTTGTTTTCTGCAACAGGTCAAGATAGGAGCTGGGATACATATTTGGTATCTAAGGAAGATCAAACAGTACCAATGAATGCATGGAGTATCAATGTTCCTGAACTATCAGTATCAGTCGCTGAGTGGGTTTTGTGGGTGTTTGGGCTTAGTTGTTATTTGTCCAGACTCCCTAATATTCACCCTCTTCTTCACACCTGGTGTGCTGGCTATTATGGTAAACTTGTTGACACAGACATTATTACGGAAGTACTGTCCCAAATTGGTGTCGCAATACTGTACGCCTGAGGCTATAGATGGTCTATAGCATAGAGGGACACAATAGTTGTGCGATGTCATCGGGACCACTTTACACGGATTACTACAAAGGGGGACAGGCACATATTGATACAGTAATGAAGTCATCTCGCTATTAAGAACTTAATCCCTTGGGCCCGCCTTGTTTCCTTTTCTTCCCTGTGGTTGCATGGTTTCGCCCTGTGGGAGCCAATTGGAGAACCACCCATTGCAACCGACATGTTCGGTAATAAGACTGTACCCAGTGAATGTTCCTGGTTCCCAAATAAAATAAGTAATACACTTAGCCAAAGGAAACCAACATGAGATCATGTTGGTTATACATATTTCCTTCTTATTTCAAAACACAAATTTAGGCACTAGAGTTTAGGCACTCTCCTGAAGTTAAGGCACTCTCCTGAAGACGGTCAGAGCATACTGACCGGAATGTCGAGTTTAAACCTCTGGTTCTTTTCAGAACCATTCTCTTAGTTTGAGAAATTATTTTCAAATGGTGATTCCACAAAGTTTTCATTCATTAGTATCTCCACCATGCAAAGCCTCAAATCTTACTTAAAATACAACTTCATGACCATTAAAGGGCAATGAAATGAATGTTTTTCTGAGGAACACATTTTGTGCAACTTTCTACTCCTCTTAAATGTATGAACACTTTTCAGTTGTTTACGTCATGTTTAAGCCCAAGCTAACAAAGGAAAAAGGACCGGTGTGTTTGCTGCCACCAACGTCTCAAAAGTCTCCCACTTAACTGTTTACTTTTTCAATATTGAACAGCTGGAGCCGTAGTGGATTCCAAAAATTAGTACGTACACTAACTCAACCTGAGCTTTTATTTCATCATTTACCCAAAATCTAGCACTGTTTGGCAACCCAATTTTAGAAATGAAAACATCCTTGTTGTATTCAAAAAGAAAGACCTTGATTTGGTTAATTGGGCATGCGTGCATTTGACGCTGGTTGTTGCACCATATCTGCGTCCATCATTTGTTGCCTATTGTCCTCAGGAATGTCAAATCTTTTGTTCCTACTGTGCCCCTGAGACAACAAGACAACTATTCACGGTTGTTTTCACAACAGAAAACAACTCCCCTTGTTTGTATTCCATCTGTAATAATAAAAACAGGCTATTGTCGTAACCTCGTGCTCGTACCGAAACACATATTTCAGAGAGCCTCATTCACGTTTGCCTGTTGAGTATTGTGTTCTGTAATAAATTATATTGTATTTAACTGTGGTACAGAGCCTGAATATTCTTGCTCCCCAGATGTCCTTGTAATAAAGATTGTAACAATGAGTAATATGATCACATGATAATCATCAATAAAAATTGAACATCATACAGTTCTGTATTGAATCACAGGGAAAATAACACACAGAGTTCAATTCACTGTGGATACATGAAGCAAGTTGTTTGGAAGAAATATTTCAACAGAGGGCGCTATTCGTGAATTTTGGTTTTCATGAAACAGACAGCTGCTGTATGCTGGGAAAGTTGTAGAATTTGAATTTGAATGTTTGTTCATCTTCTGAGTGGTTTTCCTTATTCTTTGAAATTCCATTTGCTTATGACACCCCAAAATTGTAACTTTATAAAATTGACATTTTTAGGAGTAAGTAAAGTCTGTCCCAAGCCAATGTGGCTCATCAGGCCGGCGTTTATCTCCGGTTTCAGTAGCATGAAACGGCTGAGAATATTTCTACTCCCCCTGGATGGGATGCCAGTCCATCGCAGGTTACTCCCCAGCTAATGCCAGTACCCATTTATACTCCTGGGTGGAGAGGGGCAAGTGGGGGTGAAGTGCCTTGCCCAAGGACACAATATATGACCAGCGGCTGGATTCGAACCCCGGACCCTCTGATCATGAGTCACGAACCCTAACCACTAGGCCACACACTCCCCCTTCACTGGCAACCCAGTAAAATAAATATTTTCAAATACACCACAACGGGAAACTGACTAGCTGCAATCCGTTGGTCACAGGTTCAAACCCCGCTACAGCCAATTTCTTTGTTCTACTTTAAAAAATAAAAATAAAGACACAGTTACTACCATCTTCATTGACTGTGTGATGAGCCCGGGGCAGATTTTCTCAGTAGTGCAAGATAAAACACCGAGACTTGAATTCATGTAAATTTGAATGGAATTGGCATAACAATAGAAATTGTGAACGACGCAAAAGATATTCAGATTTATATATACTGGTATGTACGTATCCGATTTTGAAATTACAGTGTCGGTTCTGTTAGCCATTAGGCCTACTGGGACGATTCAATGCCTGAATGCTCATCACACCTCACTAAAGGGGAGTGCATTGTGTGAAGTACCGGTACCTAACCGAGCTTTGGAGCGTCCCGGTACTTTTGGACTAGCCCAGTAACCACAAAAAGTAGGCAAATTGGATTGATCTAGACATACAAGTTCAATTGTACGTTCAATCATTTTCTTTATGGACCTCTAATTTCATAACAGCGCTCACTTCGAATTACAGGTACATGTACTGATGTTCAGAATCTTGAATACAGGCAGTTTTCCTTTGATCCGGACACAAAAGGTTATGTGTACAAAGTAAACACACCGGATGAATGTTATCATACTTCAAACTATAACCGTTCAACACTAAATGCCGCCATTACCGAGATGTACCTTGACATTTTGAGTGTCGGGTGTTGCTTTTTATTGCATGATTTCCACGCTTCGTCAATCAATAATTTCTTTGCGAAATGTACGTTCACCTCAAATTTAAGAAGGCATGCAAGTAAATTCACATAAGTTTCTCTTTTCAATATGGCCACCAAATTAGTTCATAGACTTCCTATTTAGCAGGCAATTGACAACGTCGAGTTTGTTTTGTTGCAATTTGGTTTTGACTATGGACACTTGACATACTGCAGCAGCTGAAAAGATTCTGAAACTAAAACTTGAATTAGCAATTATCGAGGGACTGAGCAGACGCTGAATATAACATTCACAATAAACGATCGCATTCCATCATGTACCGAAACTAGGACATTTGCTCTGTTTTAAGTATCGATGATTGAATTGAGCAGAAAGTTTCTAAATTCCATAAATTGTTTAACGATTTAAGAGAGTTTCTGTACATGTTTACATTGACTCCATGGATCCGGATCGTGGACTTTGAAAGGAGGATACTCAAAAAATTGTTTTTAGAAATTCATTATTTACTCTAAAGGGGCGTTACATCCTGGAATGCGCCTAACTGGGCAACAAAACGCATTTTAAAAGAAATTATGTCAATTGAAAAGAGCATTTAAAGTAGGATATAAACGTCCACACAACCATCCTTTAAAAATTGGGTGTTTTTTGGTGTTACTCTTGCGAGAACCATGCAAGAATGAATTTTGGGGGTCAATATTTTGACTTTCAAAAATTGAGCTGTTGAGCATCGCATTCTGTCCGCCGCGTCCGATGCAAACAGCCGATTTTTCGTCTTTTCTTGGGAATAGTGAGACATTAGGTAAGTTTCCTTTCAAATTCAACCAGACCTTTGAAATGGGATAAGTAAACAATCCAAAACAATTTTTTTTTGAGGATTTTAGGCCGTAATACCCCTTTAACTGTTCCATTTTTTCCCCAAGCTTACATGATGATGAGAAAACAAAATATTGGGGTGGCTTCACAGCATTCGTAACTAAACCTTGAGAATCCCTTTTACTGATGAACAAAAATACAATGGGTGTGCTGGGAGTTGTAACCAGGGGTGCAAGACATGTTGAGACTTGCCCAAATTGGACCACATACTGCAAAGGTGACAGGGTCACTTACAAGTTTCAGCTTGAGTTTCATCGTGAAGAAATACATGGGATGTAAAGGATAACGATACTTTGTATTAGGATCTTGGGAGAAACTGGTTTATTTTTGTACTTGGTCTAACAGCATGTTTGA